CGAGAGGCGAGGCGAGGCGCGGGCGGCGCGGACCTGGAAGGGGGGGGGACTGGGAGGCCCTCCTAGCCGGAGACCGCGCGCACCTGCAGCTGAAGCCCGCCTTCCCTCCATCTCGGGCAAGCCCTTAAACTAGCCCTTGGTTTCGACAGCGGGGGCTGGACGGCGAGTCTCACGCCGCGCTTTTCTGGCGTGCCTCCCCGATGCCTCGGGAGTGGAGGCGTGGGATCTCCTATGTAGGAAGTTTGCCGCGTCGCATTCTTGGCCGGCTGTGGCAGGTGGCTGATCGCGTCCTGTCCTTCGGTAACGCCGACCTGGGTCGTTGCCAAATATCTCAGGAGTCTTTGTTTAGAATCTGTTGAGATGGGGAGGCGAGTGGTGCTTAAAAGGAAGGCCGAAACGCGTGTTTCTCAGTGAAAAACAAAACAAAAGCCAACACGTTATGGCTTACCGTAAACAGGTTGCGTTTTGAGTTCTTGTTTGAATTTTTGTGTTGAAGAGAAACAGGTTGGTTCTTGGTCACACCTCAGCTAGAGGCTGACACAATCTCTAGCTAATGAAACACAGATTTATTAAAAGCATAACCTTTGTACCAACCTAAGACAGAAGTTTCCATCTAGAGGTGCCCTTTGCTTTACTACAGTGTGAGAGCTCTATTACTGCTTAATAGTGTCGTCCTATGTTCCTGTATACAAAAAAAATAAGTTTTCACAACTTCATCTTACTCACAAGAAGGTAGGGGATTGTGCCCTAAGGCAGGAAGGTAACTTAAAACGTTGTAGTGACTGAAATAAATGGGATGTTTAGTATATAGTTCTCTGTCCTCTTACATATGTGTAAGAACTTGGGCTTGTTTTCTAGGTAGACAAGTATAGGACTGTGCAGTTATGAAACTCACTTCTGGAAGTATCAAAGTGCTTCATTCACTAGACTGAAGTTGTGAAGATTTCAAAAATGTTTGCGCAACTGGGACTGACATCATAATGACAACGGGAAATCACACATCTGATAAAAGAAGATGCTTACATGTTAAATGTAAAGACACCTTCTCCGAATAAAATTTTCTGTTCAATGATGAGCTTAATTTCAGTTTTCTATTTCTATGACTGAGCAAATGGTTGGCAATAGAAATATATGTTTGTAAAATACCATTGCTATGTATTCTAACTTTCTTCCTTTTCTTGAATTTATTTGTTTGTTTAGTCCAAAGCTCGCACTCCAGAGTCTTCAAAAGAAGAAAAGAAGAAACCCGTTTTGGGGAAGTTTGGAAATTTTTTTACAACTGGAAGAAGAAAAACCCCAAAAAATACATTAGAAGATTCTTTAAGCCAATGTATTAAAAGTGAAGAGCCAGCATTGCCATTTCACAAAGATTTGGCTCCATTGGCATCCCTAGATATTGAAGAGGACCTGTCTAAAAGTGAAGAATCTCTTGCTGACCAAGCCTATAATCCAGAAGATCAGTCAAGGACACAGAATATAATTGAAGACCCAGAAGAATATATTTTCAATAAGGATCTAACACACTTGTATAACGACATTGTGTCAGAATGGAACACTAAGAAAGTTTCTTCTGACAGTGAATGGTCCCCAGATTGGCACAGTAGTAATGAGACAATAAAAAATACATTATTTGATAGTAATCTGACACTGCAGACACTGGAAACGGAGAGTGATCTTAATCATACAAGTAATACCACAACTCCAGATTTCTTTAAAAGCTTGACTAATGTATCTAGTGAAGACCTAGAACATGACATATTAAATCATAAGCAGCTAGTGGATCTGCATGCAGCTGTAGAATCAGATTATGTGGCATCAAAAGACCAGCCGTCTAATTTGGAATCTAAGCCGCCTGGTCCCATCTATCCTTCCAGAGTGTTGACAGTAGATATCTTTCTTCGCAGAGCTGAACAACGAAATTCAGAAGGAACAGTGAAGGATATATTGGAGGAAAGCCATAGTAGCAGCAACACAATGGAAAAAAAGCCTGTAGTAAGGAGATCTGGAAAGAGGAAAAAATCTCAGTCTTCCAGTGATGTGCCAAACGGGGACAGAAATATGACGGAGAATGCTGCAAAAGAAGAACCTGTTTTGGATGGGGTTTTGTCAGATACAGGAGTAGAAAAAACAAACATCCCGGAAAGAAAAGCCAAGGCTTCTCAGCAGATTAATTCTCCCACGTCTAATCATGACACAAGAGCTGGAGCTGGGAGTAGTCACAGAGGGCTGACTAAAACAGAGTCAGAGAAATGCAAACAACAGGCCTCTGGCTCATCCCCATACAGGAGGAAATCCTTAAGAAAGAACATGACCGACACAGGTCCCCTTTCACCCACAGGTCCAAAAAGTCCAGGGAAAGAGTCTTCCACCAAAAGACAAAGCGATAGCAATTCCATGTCAAAATACAGTTCAGTGGATAAGTCATCCTCCGGTGAAAGGACTGTAGAGACTTCTAAAGTTTTTTCCACGGATCTTGTAGTCAATAGCACATTGCCACTTTCTGAAGAGAGTACAGACTCTAAAGTATCAAATTCTGTCCACAACATGGATGGTAGTGTTTTATTGCACACGGATGGGCATAAAAAGGGTGAGATGAGGACAGTAAATGAAAAGCAACGTTTCTGCGGTTTGGACGATGATAAGGAGAGAAGTGTTTGCTTTGATGATTCGAGAACTGTCACAACAAAATTCAGCCTGTAAGTAGTTTTTATCTTTTATATTAGACTGTTTTCTTGCAGTGAAATGTTTATTAAGTTCCACTGTCAGCATGAACTGTAACTGCTAAATATTTATGACAATGTGTGCATCATAAGTGATACATATGAGACATTTAATAGCAACTTCTGGACTTGTTACTGCTGCAGATAATGTTTTAAGCAATTGATGACAGTTGGAATTGTTAACTTGTTAACCTTCATTACGAAACAACGTAGCACTAAATCGTATAGAACATTCTCCATATTCGTGATAAACTTCCCTCTTGCTTGAAGAGAATTGTCATCAGCAGGAGAGGAAAGGAGACACAATAGCTAAAATCCTGTTGTGCAGTTAGACAAAAAGTGTAACATTTGGAAGCAAATTGCTGTAAGTTAAGAATTGTCGATAAGCATTATCGATTGCATGTTGAGTCATGCAACTCAATATGCAATAATTACAGTCTACGGAGATGGCAGTTCACATCAAAAAGTTACAATTTCTGCATAACTCCACAACAGGATTACAGCCATTTTTTTCAAAAATGCATGCTTAATGCAAGTGCTCTCAATTACAATTTATTTGGAAAAAAAACCTCTCCTCTATAATCATTGTAATAAATAGCTGTCAGAAAGCCAAGCTACATATTAGAAAGAGATCCATATCTGTTTCTGTGTGATTGCATTTTGTTTTTCTATTTTGCTTTGTAAAAATATAAAACAACTTACAAATATTTATTTATTTATTTATTTATTTGATTTATATCCCGCCCATCTGGTATATTTATACCACTCTGAGCAGCTTCTTTCGGGGGCTGAGGAAATAAAAGTTGAGAAGGGACACTTATCCTATCCCTACTTGCCACTTTCCCCTTAAGCTGCTTTCTATGAAGCGGAAAAATACAGGCAAAAGAAGCTTATAAGGTTGATTTTCAGAGGAAAGGCACCTGGCAGGGAAGATGCCAGGAGGGTATTATACTGTTCCTAATTGCAGTTTTCAGATTTTTAAAAAAATAAAATAAAATGAAAACCATATCAGGAAAAAGTTACACAAGACTCAAGAGCAAAGCGACAATTTGGACAAGTTGTTAGAACTACAGCTCCCAGAATTCTGCCTGTTTATGGGGATTCTGGGAGTTGCAGTGCAAAAAAGGACCTTTTTCAAGCTCTGCATTAAAAATAACGAGTCCTTCAGCCTTTAAGGAGAGTAGTGGGGATTATACAGTAATTTACTGCTATCAGCTCTGGCTGGCAACAGCCCCAATTCCAATGCTATAGGAGATCCTTGAACAAGAGATATAGTTGGCTTTGAACTGTACTGGTTAGCTAAACGTATGAGAAGAGGGTACTAGACTCCCCTCTCTCTACTATAGCTTGGCAAGGTGGGTAACTGTCTTTATTGTATGGGAGGCCCTTCATGTAATTCTAAACATGGAGGAAATCAGACCTTACAGTTGCATTTAGGAGTTTCTTTACTTCAGACTCATCATTTCTCATTGTAAGCAAAGTGACAATGGAGGAGGCATGGCTAGCGCACTTCCCTCTTTGTGTGTTTAGTTAAATGTAAAAGAGAATGGCAGAACAAGGGTAAATTTTAGTGATTTCCTGTCATTGTATCATTATTATTGAAAGTGAAAGTCCCTTTCTTGGTAAGCAGATCCTGTCACTTTTGAGACAGTTTCTTTCAATATTCCAGGCAAGCAGGATATTGTCAACCAGGGCTCGATCAGTTCTAGATGTAAAAAGCAACAAAACTCATTGACAGCAGAAACCAACTGCAGGAGAAGAATAATGGCACTAATTGTTCATGAACAAGAGCATTCCCACATGGCATGAAGGACTGTGCAACACACACCACACAAAGGGGAAAACATGGCTCTTACACTAGCCCATCACCAAACCCAAGCTCATCACTCATTCCCTTGAAGTTCCTAATAGGAGTTTGCTGTTGATTTTGGGGGGTTTGGAAATCTAACCCCAAGAATTATCTGGGAGTTTCAGGCCACAAACACATACCTGCAGACATCTTCATGTCATTCACCAGGAACATGGCTTCCTTGTAGGCTTTCATTTCCTGCTGTAATGTTTCCAGGGGGTGGTAGTCTCATTGGCTTTTATGCTCTATAAAGTGCAGCTTCTGAAAAACCTGCCTAGAAGGAGGCTTCAGCCTTGTCCAGGTAAATGAAATGAAGGTCTGTGCAATTATTTGTTTGTCCCCTGGAATTCCCAGAATTCTGCCTAGGGAATTCATGGAGAGGGGAGATATGATAGCCAATTTCAAATACTTGAAGGATTGTCATACAGAGAAGGGGCAGGATCTATTCTCAATCATCCCTTGAGCAATAATGGGCTCAAGTTACAGGAAGCCAGATTTTGGTTGAATATCAGGCAAAACTTTTTAACAGTTAGAGCAGTACAACAATGGAATCACTTACCTCAAGAAGTGGTAAGTGCTCCAGCACTGGAGGCATTCAAGAGAAATTTAGGCAGCCTCCTGGCAGATATCCTTTGATTTGTATTCCTTCATTGAGCAGAGGGTTGGACTCGATGGCCTTATAGGCCCCTTCCTACTTCATGATTCTCTGATCTCTGGGATTTGAATTCCCCCCCCCCCCAAAAAAGGATGGCATACCTCTTTGCTGCCAGGGATACTATGATCCAGAATTGCTGAGGGCAGCCAGTAACAATGTATTTTGCATAGATGTTTCCATGAACAGCGAAAAGTAGTAATTTAAGTCTTCTTAACTTGCTCTTAAGTCTACTGAGTGTATAGGTAGTTTACAAATATTTGCAGATGACTCTCACGATCAAATAGGTAAGTTGTGCAGAAATAATACTATGACAAAGAAATGGTTTTCAGGTCAAAGGGCAAGGTGTAAGTAGAATAAAATGTTTTTAAAAGATAAGTTTATAGAGGGGTTTTTAAAAATCTGTGGAGTGTTATTTATTCCTTCTACCATCTTTGGTGGCAAAATAAGTAATTTATCCATTATGAAAAGAGACAGAATGTTACTTTGGAGGGGGGGGCTCACTTTTTACCCTCTTGCTTCTGTTTTTACAAGAAGTACAATAGTTTACAGATTAAGCATCTGTTTATATGATGATTAATGGTAGTGTGTACATTTGATCAGCAGGGTCACTTTGACTCCTGGCCACTTATGTAAGTGTTGTGTTTTTTCCAGTTGTCTCAGTCTTCCCAATAATAATAAAAACATCATTAGGAAAAAAAAAACCTAATTAAGGCCACCCCTCCCCCAAAGTGCCTGAAGACTACCTGGGACATGTGAAGGTATAGCAGTTTTGTGAGCTCAGGGTGTGTTTGACCTACCTATTGATGAAATGTTAAACAAGGGTTTGAACCAGTTTTCATACAGCTTATTTTCTTCCACCCAAGAATAATGACACTTTCTCAGTCACCAGAGGCCTGTGTGAAGCTAGGTCATAGGGCTTGCAGCCACTAACCAGTCCTGATTATGTTGTTTCCAAAACACTCCTTGAATTTACTTTAGCCTATTTATGAGACAAGAGAAAATAAATGACTTTATGGCGGAATATAAAGTAGCAGAAGTCTTACCTGCAGTGAATCATTTTCTTAAATAACATTATGTTCTCAAGGAAGATGTTTACTGGGTTAGTCATCACAGTGTAACCATTCCACGAAAGTTGTAATAAGGCCACCAAGTGTTACAAGGAAACACAAAAGCCTGTGATTTCCAAATATGATACAAAAATTTGAAACTCATTTAGTCACTTCGCCTTTGCCCAATATACTGCTGTTAATTAACTTCCCTAGGTTGTGGAAGGTGATATTTTGATTTACAGTTATAAACACAGAAGTAATTATGACACTTCCTAATAAGTATAATTAGGACTAAACCTTAGTTTAACACATGAAGGCTTCAAATACAGATTTAATGAATTGGATGCTGAGATGTCTGTCTTCTGTGAAGAGAAGGGCTCCTTCCATCCACAAATGGTTTCTGAGCTAGTGGAGATGATACAGTGGTTGAAGGGGAGAAGTGGCCTTCCCATTTAATTCCCCCTTTCCCTGAAACTGCCTTCCAGTATCAGGCTGTTCAGACTGTTTTTATTATTATTGTTGTTGTTGTTGTTGTTGTTGTTGTTTTGGAAGACACAAATGGCTGAAAGAGAAAAGGTAAATCTCCACACTTCTTGCCCTGCTCCACTCCAGTAGGAGACTTCTGCTCCAGTGCTGGTGGAAGGGCTAGATGTGAGTTCTAAATAGCAAATCCTATGAAATGAAGTGGCATCTATGGGCAAGTAAATGCCTTTAGGTTTCTACTGTGAAGCTGAAATCCAACACACATTTAATTTTGGAGTAGGTGTTCCAAATAAGCAAAAGTTTGTGACACACATTTGCAGCCCTAAACATGTCTACCTAAGACTATGCAAGTCCAATAAAAATAAATAGCACAAATAAACAGTAAGCATTATTAAGATTGGGCTTCAGGTCTTCCCTATTTTGAAACAAATCCAGTTGACAACAGTAGGATGGAGCTTCCATGTAATATGCCTAGCAGTGTTAGTCATTATTCATAAATTTAAAATCAGTAGAGCTTTGACGTCTGTGCTCAATTTTTAAATTACTTTCTTGTCACATCAGTTAACACTGTTTCCAGGAGACTATGAATTACAACTGCAAGTATTGCATGTTGTATTGTATTTTTATGGGAATCATAAATAGTTAAAGAGTTGTTGTTTCTCCTTGCTCCATTTTAACAAAATGAGAACTTCAGCTTCATAACTGGTCAGGGTTGGGTCTTTTGGGATAAGAAAGATTTTCCCCGTCTAGAACAATATACCCTGCTCTTGTCATGTGATTATAAATCCCTGAAAGAGATGTTTGTCAGTTGTATGTTCCATTTTTGTCTTAGAATTGGGAACTAAGACAGTTTATGATATAGTTATTAAAATACATTTTACGTTTCAACCAATTTTTCAGGAGGAATGTGACCAATCGAGCTTGAATCTATTCCCTGAGC